CCACACCACATTGTACATCATAACAACAAAGCTCGGGTGGTCTTTAACTGCTCCTTTGAGTTCCAGGGGACCGTTCTTAACCAGTACCTCCTGCCGGGACCTACCATGGGGCCTATGCTGGGTGTACTCCTGCGTTTCCGCCAGTATCCTGTAGCAGTGAGCGGAGACATAAAGGCCATGTTTCATCAGATCCGCCTGCTCCCTGAAGACTGCCCACTGCTGCGGTTCTTATGGAGAGACTGTGAAACAGAGAGGCCCCCAGTGGAGAGTCCTGCCCTTTGGGACAACGTGTAGCCCCTGCTGTGCTACCTTTGCCCTTCAGAGCCACGTAAGGGGGCACCGAGACACCTATAAAGACGTCTACGACTCTGTCCACACAGCTTTCTACGTGGACAACTGTCTGCAGTCCCTTTTTGACCCACAAGAGGCCAAGTTGCTCATTGACAGAATGAGAGAGCTGCTTATCCAAGGTGGATTTGAGATACGCCAGTGGGCAAGCAACATCCCTGAGGTGGTCGCTCATCTGCCAGGTACGGCCAGGTCAGATAGTTGTGAACTATGGCTAAACCTTAAAAGCCTTGATCCTCAGGAGTCAACACTGGGTCTCAGCTGGCACTGCACTACTGACATCCTGGGATACAAGCACCGCCCTGTCTCCTACACAACTGTGACGCTGCGCAATGTTTACAAAGTACTGGCCAGTCAGTATGACCCATTGGGTTATATCTGCCCCTACACGACAAGAGCAAAGCTCATTGTGCAGGCTCTGTGGAGCACAGAGAGAGGATGGGATGAGCCCATAGAAGGAAACCTGCTTCGGTCCTGGCTCGAATAGGAAAAGGAATTGTCTTATCTCCAGTATATCACCATTCCCCGATGTTACGCTCCTCCTCACAACAGCAACAGTGCGACATATGAGGCTCACATCTTCTGTGACGCCTCAGAGAAGGCGTATGGAGCTGTGGCCTATCTCAGAGTCATAGAGCAGCAGGCTCACATCTCCACCTCCTTCATCATGTCACGCTCCAGAGTAGCGCCCCGTAAGCAGGTGTCGATACCCCGACTGGAGCTGTGTGCTGCGCTCACTGGAGCCCAACTGGCCAAGGTACTCCAAACTGAGCTTTCACTACCCCTTCACTCAGTCTACCTGTGGACAGATTCCACGACAGTGCTTCAGTGGATCCAGTCCAGTTCCTGCAGGTACAAAGTTTTTGTGGGGACTCGGATCTGTGAGATACAGGAGCTGACCTCTCCGGAACAGTGGGGGTATGTGAACTCTGATGATAATCCAGCCGATGACATCACAAGAGGGAAACCACTGTCAGAGCTCACGGTCTCCAGCCGATGGTCACAGGGCCCACACTTTCTCACACAGACTCCTGACACCTGGCCGAAGTCCCCGACAGAGTTCCCAGAATGTAGCAGTGAAGAACTCAGAAAGACCGCCTTCTGTGGCCTTACAAATGTATCATCAAGTCTGCCAGATCCAACACAGTACACATCTTTAGATGATTTGATTCTGGCCACTCACCAATCCCTGCAAGGGGCGGCTACCACCTCCTACACTGCAAGTGAGCGCCTGAAGGCAGAGACCCAGTTCCTTTAATCTGCGCAGAAGGACAGCTTCCCAGAGGAGTTCCAAGCCTTACAAGCAGGTAACGCTGTTCGCTCGAGCAGTCGTCTCAGCGCCCTTTCCCCTGAGTATGACAGCCTCAGTGGACTAGTCAGAGTGGGAGGCCGCCTGCGTCAAGCTACAGATGTAGATCCTGACAGCATCCACCCAGTTGTGTTATCACCCGATCACCCTCTGACTCAGCTCATTATAAAGCACTATGATATTCAGCTGTTTCACCCCGGTACAGAGAGACTCTATGCAGAGTTACGCCGCATCTACTGGATCCTCAGAGGTCGCCAGGCCATTAAGAAACATCAGTACCGGTGTGTGGACTGCAGGAGATGGCGTGCCTCACCCTCCACACCAAAGATGGCTGACCTTCCCTTATCTCGGTTGAGACTCTACAAACCGCCCTTCTGGTCTACAGGCGTAGACTGTTTCGGACCATACCTGATTAAGATTGGGCGTAGGAGAGAGAAACGCTGGGGAATCATCTACAAATGCCTCACCACTAGATGCATTCACTTAGATCTCATCCCTAGCCTTGATACTGACTCTTTCTTAATGTCATTACGCAGGTTTATTGCACGCCGGGGGAAGCCGTACGAGCTGTGGTCTGACCGGGGCACCAATTTCAGGGGCGGCCATAAAGAACTACAGAGTGCCTTTGAGAGCATGGCACCAAAGTTGCAACAGCAACTGGCTAATCAGACTATCAACTTCCACTTCAACCCACCATACTCTCCTCATTTCGGGGGAGCTTGGGAGAGGGAAATCCGATCCGTTAAGTCAGCCTTGCAAGGTGTCCTGAAAGACCAAGTTGTGGCAGAGGAAGTGCTCCTAACAGCTCTCATAGAAGTTGAAGGACTCCTTAATTCTAAACCACTCGGATATGCTTCATCTGATGTGGCTGACCCGGACCCCATCACGCCAAACCTGCTGCTAATGGGGCGGCGCGACGCTGCCTTACCACAGGCAGTATACGGCCCTCATGATGCTCTTTCCAACAGAAGATGGAAACACAGTCAGGTGATCAGTGATCATTTCTGGAAACGCTTTGTCCAGAACTACCTCCCAGGGCTTCAGCTGAGACATAAATGGAGGAAATCCACTGATAATGCTACTGTGGGACAAATTGTGATGATCATTGACTCCAACCTTCCCAGAGGACTTTGGCTTGTTGGGACCATCACCAAGGTTTTCCCAGGGACAGATGGTGTTGTTCGAGCTGCGGAGGTGAAGGTTAAAGACAGTATCTACATTCGCCCGGTAACCAAACTAGTGGAACTCCCTGAAATGCCTGAGGATTCAAGCGGCATTCCTTCAAACTAGTTGACTTTTGAATGAGTGTATTTGCTAGGCAAATACAGGGGCGGCTGTTAAAAGTCCGTGCCCTGACATAGACTACGTTACCCATAATGCATGCGTTCGTTGTAGTTCCGATCGCTCGTGGTTACGCTAGGCGCTTTCACTTTGGTGTAGTCCAGTCAGTACCATGAGAGCAGTATTCACGATGCAGAGAATTGCCATCCTTTGTTTATCCTGCGCGAATCTTGTGTGTATGAGTGCTGTGTGCGTCCTTACGATGTAAGTACGGATTTTGCATGAATGACTCGTTTATTGCAGAGCTATTAGCCCAGATGGCGAAGTTGTTATACTCGTGTTATTCACTACTGCTATACGGCTGTTGCCGTTACGGCGCTCCATATGCGCTACGGCGCTCCATATGCGCTCATAAAGTAGCCATTTACTGTATATACTTTAGTTATTGCCTTGTAAATAACCGTAAATATTATATTTAATGTATAGTTCGCCTATTTTGGCACTTTTCACCATGTGGAGATTTATGGCATCTATGCAAGTTAATTTATAGTGTTAGAGCTCCCACTAGTGGATTTTGGTCGTACTGCGGGTCATTTCTTTATGCAACTATATGTAACCATAGCCTACATGTTTATTAATATACATTTTATTGTATTTTCTGTTTCACACATACACACACACACACCTACAAACACACCTATTTTGTCATATTGATACCTGTAAACCATCATCATCTCCATGTACCTGACTTCTCCTCAATAAAAACTAAAACTGCATCATTGGATTTGCCTATTCCTTCTGATCGAGGAAGACTCAGTTGACGAGCAATCCATAATCAGCCTCAGACGCACACGGTCTCTTACAGTACCTTCGTTTTTGTCGTTCAATCCTTCAGTGCTGTGCCTCCGAAACTCCGGAATACTCTTCCTCTAACTTTTGGTGACACTTCTACTATATCCTCATTCAAATCTCAACTAAAAACCTATCTTTTCTTACAGTATTTCCAACCCTCCTCTGTTTAGTATTCTGTTGTTTTGGTACTGTATATTTGTATATGTACTATGTGATGTATACTAATGCTCGATGCTGTGTTTTTGTTATCTTCTTGAACAGGGACCTTGAGCTTGGGAAAGGCGCTTTATAAATAAAACGCATTATTATTATTGACAAGGCACTGCCTATAGCTGGTACAGTGCCGGCTCCCACTTTATATTAAGTGGCTTTAAAGGGGCACTTGGCAACTATTTCAACTTAATAAAACCGTTTAGAAATCATGAATGGTTCAATAACCTGTCCTGGAGAAAATGGTGACTTTCCCCGCTCCCCCCAGCGTTCCCAGGCGGAAAACCAACCTTGCAACATCGGGACTAACGTCCCGGTAAGTTGGAAATAGGAAGTCTTGTGAGAAGCGAGAACGAGCGAGAAACACGAACTGCTTTATGGCAATTCGACATAATTCTATGATACTGTGTATGATGTATTACCCACTCGGTAGACATAGCTCCACTAGATAAAGTTGGCCGGCTCCGATAATAACAAATGCACATAAGCAGCGGTAGAAAGCGGGAGGAAGTGAGCCGCAAGTGAGTTTTTTTATGACAGTGTTGTGAAAATATATGCCCCACAGCTGTAGGGGGAGCTGATGAGAAAACATGTGACAACAAAAGTGAAAATCAGCGAAGAAATGATTAGAGTTGCCAAGTTCCCGTTTAAGTACTATGTACTTACATTGAAATAAATAATTTGATACAACGGACTTAGTGTACATACATGTTTTTACATTTACTTATATTTTTACAGCTGTAATTATTTCATGTAATTACATTTGTAATTAGACTGTTGACCCTTCCCTTCCACCTTTAACCCTACCCATCCCACACACACCTGTCCCTAACCTTACCCCATCACACCTCAATAGCAGCAAAAGTGTTTTACAATACAACATGATATGTTGAATAATACATTGTACTTATTTTCGATGTAAGTACATAGTACTTAAAGCTATTTAATATAAAGTGGGAACACAGTCCTAATAAACTACAATCTATCTTAATTTTTGCAGAAAAGCTTGCATACAGTGCCACTGCGGTCAGGAGGAGCATGTGTCCAGCTCCGACAGCGAAGACGACCGCATGGTGGGAAGATTGCTGGCAGAGTCCCGCTATGCCCATCTCACCGCTAAGGTTAAGGGAGGAGACGGAATGAGGATCTACAAACGCAACCGCATGATTGTCACCAACCCAGTGGTCTCCCGTAAAGACCCAACATTCAACACAGTCACCTATGACTGGGTCCCACCAGGCCTCACCCAGAAACTGGTAAGAGAACCATGAAAGCTCAAACAAATCAATGCATCCTTTATATTTAGTAGTTTATCATGGTTGCGGTAAGGCGGTGGTACTAGCTGTAATGTGAAATGAGCGTAGTTCATTGTTCTGGTGACATGCTCCTGGTGAATACAGACGAGCTACTGATGGTACCAGTAATGAGCAAGACAACCAGGGTTTAGTTGGAAAATATTCCTTGTGTTGGTATTTTACCAGCTTCTAAAATGTCTAAGCCCTGAACCACAAGGTGAAAAACAAAAATCACAAGCTGTGCTTTAGTTTTGTCTTGTGAGAATAAAATTAGGCTCCTGGAATTACCATGAAATTAGAATCTTTAACTTTTTCAGCAAACTGCACAACAGTATACTTCTACCACAGTCCATCTTTTACCTCAACTCCTCCTTTCTGACACCCAGTGTCAGCAAGAACATAACAGAGCTTACACCAATGAAAACCCTCTTTTGGCAAATAACTTTTTTTTAAATAACTACTGTCAAGATTTACTGAATTAGCGCTGAAAAGGCATGGACATAGTTATTTTTTGTTTTGTTGTTATTGCATATGCATTTGTAGGCGTTTCCCTTTCAGACATTTATGGGAGGAGAGTTTTTAATATACCACTCAATGTGATTTACTAAGGTTTGCGCTAGTCAATTTACTGGTATTTGCACCATTATTTAAAATCAGAAAAAAGCAGTCTGAGCCCATTTTGTCCTGCTGTGCTGGGTGCTGTAGGAGGAGGCACCGCAGACAGCGAGTGTAGAGGGGAGAGAAGTTTCTCCACTCATGGTCATTTATTAGGAATGCCTCTGCTTATCTGCGACCCTATGCTAATTTGCGCTGCTCTTGGTAGATTGCTTTGGTCATAATGGACATTAGCTGGCAATTCCTGAGGCCTCCCTTTGTGTTTTGATCTGAAAAAAACAACAAATCTTCTGGAAGCAAGACATGAAACAAATTGCCTGCTAACAATTATGTGGTGCCGACCTTGATCCCAACTATCAGTAAGCATGACATCTAATCTTAATTAAATAATGTATATTTGAGTGAGTTTGTCAACTGACCAGTCTGAAGGATTTGTGAGATACTGATAACTAGAGCCTCCTGCTGTATTATCAACACAGGGAATTTGATTAACAAAAAAATAAATTCCCTAACAAAACTACTAAAAGAATACTATGAATGTGTAAGGAAGTAAAGAGCATATTTTAAATTTAAGTGACCTGAATTCAGTTGGATGTTACTATAGAGTTACATTATATTATGAAAGATTCTCAAAGACAAAGTAAGATAAACCTTATAATCATTCAGTGTATTTGTTGAATTCAGATTTTTTATAAACTGGCATCAGGTAGAAATCTGCATTAGAGTTTCTGGAAAGAGGTTTGATCAAGCTATGTTTCCGTTCTGCGGCGATGTCTTCCACTGGTTTTGCTGGGCCACACTGCAGTGGAAGAAAAGAGTTGGATTGGTTTCTCAGTCCGTACAACTAGTGGTCAACCAACAGTAAGTTTTTCAAAACATGAATAAAAAGGAATTAAACACTATAACCAACAGTGTTGTATCCACTTGTATGTTGTTGTATGTGGTATCCACTTTTATAAAACATCCTTTCCTAATACCTTTGTCTTTTTCTGGTTATTTTACTATGGTATGCAGGGGTGAAAAGAGTACTGAAAAATAACAGTGAAAGTAAAAAAGTACCATTACTTTTCAAAAAATGCTACATTTACTCAAGTTGTTATGCTGATAATATAATTTGCATTAAATATGTAAGTATTTCTGGGGAAACTTTTTCAAAGGAAAATAAAAATACACACACAAAAGCACATCTCTTTGCAGGGCAAATAAACTACTATATTGGCAGCATTCACAACTGACTGGAACAAAACATTTTGCTGACTGAAAAATATTCTTGTGCAAGTGCAGATTGTATGAAATGAATCAAACAAAAAACACTGTTTATTAACGAGCTGTAGTTTTATCACCACACATGGGTCATCAATAACGTGCATACTGAATTTGGTCCTCCAATTATAGTACATTAAGTCATGGTAAGCTATTTTTCCTTTTTTCTTAAGAGTTTTAGAGTGTGACAGTGCAGATCGCACCTCTCTCTATATGTTCGTCTAAGCAGACAGCCGAAGTCCAAAGTAGCCTATACTTGTCTGTGTTTCGCTCCATCTCGGACCGCGTGCATAGAAAGCCGCCTGGGGAACCGCGTCTCTTTCGCAGCTCAATGCGCTGTTAACTCTTTTTTTTATATCGAGCACGCCGGTCAGGAGACTGTATATTACGACAGTCATGTTACACGATTTAACTGATTTGGATGTTACGTAGAAAGGGCGACAGCGCACCGCTATAAAGGAAAGGAACGGAATGCATCATCGGGTTTTCACAATCGCTGCCTGTAAGACAAAATCAGAAACTAAACTAAAACACAGCCCTAGTCATTAAATCATTTTGAGAGCCCCTGGTGGTTCGGGGCCCTACTGCTTTGTGTATAGGGAGGACAGGCACTGATTGTACTCAATACCCGCAACCTGGCACCAAATTTTAGGCCCTGTAGATAAAGCCTACAGATCATCTAGTAAGCAGAACCTTAACGTGTTTTACCTATTTACCTTTACGTGTTCTAAGAAAGAATGAAATGCTGATATCGCGATTGAATTAATACTTGAAGGATGCGCTTCCGTAGCAGCTACAGTATGATTAACCGGCATCTAAACCTGCCGGTTTATATCCAAACCTAAATGTGGTTAAGGTTTTGTATGTGCAATAGATTTGATAGGAGTCAGGAGACCGATTACTCTCTCCCTATCCAATCACGTTGATGCATATAAATAAAATTGTACATAAAATGTACTCAAGTTAAAGTAAAAATACACCATTTTAAACTATTTTAAAAGGACTATTTCTGATTTTTTTTTTAAAGAACTACCTGGGAGTATTTGTAATTCATTACTGCACACCCCTGGTGGTACTGTAGGCTGTATTGATTTTAAATAACTGAAAGAATTTGATGAAGTATCATGAAACTGTAATGCGATCAAGACTTCACAGCAGTGCAGTTAAACAACAATCATCGACTATCTCAAAGGTTATTTATTCTAAGCATTAGCGTTTCTTGTCAGTCTGATGTTTTACAGGAATTTGGCTGGTGTTTGGTGAAACATCCCATGGTAAAAATAACCCTCTCCATGAGCTAAAGGTATCATTATGAGCTTTATCATCTCCCTGGGCACATACCTCACATTTGACTTAATGGAAAGAGCCGCATATACATTTGTCCCACTGATCTCACATGCCTTTAAGGGATCATTTCAATCGCAAGGTACTGTAGGAGGGGTGGAATGAAGGATGCCAGATTAGGTCGGGGATTTGTCCGGTTTATTTTGATAGCAGAATGCGCTGGCGTTTTCTACCACCTCCAGGGAGTACAGCATTTCTTACACAAACTTTAGTCCAGCAGTGGACCATTCAGAGTAGGCCAGGGCTCTGGAAATAAGCCCTATACTTTATTGTCCACAATTGGCTGCCAGGAAGCATGCCGCCTGTGCGCCTACTAAAGCCCTTTCATGTTTCGTTTTTCTCTTAGGTTTTCTTCAGCCTTCTAAACATTCCTGTTTTTACATAAAAAATCTAGCCTTTTGGAGAGTTTTGTATGGGGCATATTGTTGCATATTTCCAGATAAATAGATTTTGATCCACAAGTACATTTAAAGAGAATGAAGTACGAGCCAGAGCCCCCTGCAAAAGCAGAGACATTGGGATAAAAAGCCTGAGCCCACCGCAAACCTTAAGCCACAGTGAGCCATGTCTGATCAGGTGTGTGAGCCAGCCCTTATGTCTTTTATGGAGCTTTTTCCTGAAGCCACGTTCATCCCATTCGTCCCGTTACGAGCCTGTTACGGATCCTGATCAGGTGCGTTCCAGTAAGCGTAAGTGGAGTATGAGGGAACGGAGTGTAGTCCAGCTCATACTCCCGGGCCGAAGTGAGTGTGCAGAACTCAGCCCTCGTTGTGATGTGCGGAATGGGAAAGGACAGTGCGATATATGTACATGCTATGATAAAAATCAATCTGTGCGATGAACAAATTAACCTCAGTAGCACGTGTCCGATACAGTTTTTGCATGTGTGTGAAACAAAGCCGATTGTTTGTGTGATGTGGGCGTTTGTTGTGTGCTTGTTTGTGAGGTTAATCTAGGACTGCACGATCAAATGAAATTGAACTGAAACCGTGATTTGGCTTATTGCGATTCTGAAATTGCAAGGTTTTAATTAAATAAATATATGTGCAGCGTGTTTCATGGTGAAGCCATCTGTCATGAATCACCAGACACAGAGGGATCCAAGTGCAGCGTAGGTTTATTTACAGGGTAGTCAGACAGGCAAGGGTCACAGACAGCAGACACAGCATAGGAGACAAGGCTAAATCGTGGTCCAAATACCGGGCAAGAGATCAGAGGCAGGCAGCAGACGATACGAAGTCCAGGAACACAGGCAGAAGGTCGGGAAACACAGGCAGGATATCAGGCATGGAAATGCTCTAAAGCAGACTAGGAATCAAGACTAGGAAACACTAGAAATAGACCACGACAGTGACATACAGTCATACAATACTACGCAAAGAGTGATAGTGACAGTGAGGTATAAATGTGTGTGGAGCTGCGTGTGGAACTAGATCCAGGTGTGAGAGTGATCAGTGGAAACAGGTGTGTGAGTAATCAGTCCAGGGTGTGTGCGTGAACAGTCCAAGGGAAGGCAGTGCAGAGGTGGAGCGACCTCTCGTGGCACTCGAGGGCAATCCAGCCGAACATCGTCACACCATCAGAGCGGATCGATCGGTTCGCAGTAAATGCTGCTCCATCGCTGCGAGTTTGAGTCACTTGTAAGCAATGCGCCACACATCTTTCCAAACTTGTAATAAGATGAGTTTATAAACTTGTCTAACAAAAGAGAACATTTAATGACCTGTTTTTGCTCCAAA